TTACATTGCATGACGACTAATATAGGCAATACTCAATCATTTATTTAACTACAATTCATTAATTTATTCCTATGATTATTCCTTTTTTTTATTTTTATGCATTTATGATTAACTGATTGCTTTTATATTATTCAGTTCCTTTTTGTTCATACTTTTGCATTGATATTTTGCGATCTAAAAGTCGTGGGATGAATATCCTATTAAACGAAATTGATCGGATCAAAGAAAGATAATCGGATTTCTTAGAAAATCCTCCCTTCATTTTTGTAATTTAATTTATCTCATTTCTTTCTATTTAAATAGCCTGAAAATTAGATTAATGTTATTTTCATACTGCAAAATGATAAAATAGACATATATTTTACAACTAAAAATAGAAATGCAATATTTTTTATACACGTTTTTCTCTTTTATTAAATAAAAGAAAAATTTGATGTTGTTTGATATATAAACAAAATATTTCTCCTTTCTACATCCAAATTCAAATATTTTCCAACAAATTTCAAATGTTAAAAATATCTACTTTACCATTTATTCAGCATTATCTCCCTATGGTATGAGTCGTAAATATTGAAATTCGTTTTATCGACTGCCGAATAAATTAGTATTTACTCATTGATGATAAGGTAAAATTTTGATAAAATCTAATATCGATTGTATTTTAGACAACAAATAATTAATTTACATTCTCACAGTTAGAATTTATCATATAAACAAGTAGATTTGCATCTATAAAATTTATTTCATTGCAATATTTATATTTATTTAATTGCGGAGTGCGCATGCTCCATAAGTTTGCGCCGACAACGGAGTTATCATGGCGACAACACTGCAGTGTCGTAGGAAGTGTTAGTCTGTCATAGAGAAATAGTTGTTTAAATTCACACAAAGTATCAAAAAAATTTTATGTTCATCTGTGTACTCATGGATAGTGATATGTGTATTGTTTTATGATATATATTTATGCCATTAACGGCATTGTTACGAGTTTAGATTTATTGAAGTATCTAACGACGTGTCACTGGCATTTCCTTCATAGTACAAGGTAAAACCATTTACAGATACAAAAGTATACTTTTATTATATAAACAAATAGCAGTAACATGTTCACTACTCGTATCATGGAGATACTGTGTTCCATCTGCAATATAAAGAGATCATTTATTTTTAATAATCACAATTACTTCCTCTCTATTATAATTTTAAGGGCATTGACTCTTGACACGAATTCTCCCTCGTCCTATGTACATGGGTCCTTGCCCTCTACTTTTATATTTAAGATATACTCATTTACATTCATATCATCTTTAATTTGGTATCGTGGTAACACTTGATGCAGATTTTTTTAATAAACAGCCTTTCCTCTTTCTACTACATTCTTCAAAGGATAACACACAAAATTTTTTTCATCCCATAGAATTCTCTGATTCATGAAAACTAACAGTTTTATACAATTATCGACCTCACATAATCAATATCATTTTTATTCTTTATTTTTTTAGTCTTCTAAAAACAAAATTTAATTTGATTTTCTGTAATAATTTTAGTATTGTACTTTTAACCTAAAAAACCATGACTAAGAAGGTGTTATTATTTTTTTTAATCATCGTCCTTTTTAATACTGACTTCAAAAAACTTACATGAGAATGAAATATATGTATCTTTTATAAATATTTCATTATTTCACACTACACTTGTTTACTTCCCATTAATTAAGATAATTCTTTCTAAATTAATTCTATTTGACAGTTAACTTTGTTTTAAATGTCTGTATTATTGTTTACAAACCTCCGTTATTTTTATCATATCAATCTTCAAACTACTGAAAGTCGTCAAGCATTAAAAAATATAACACTAAGTTTATAAAAAACTGTTATAAATAATAATGACTGTTGTAATTAATTTGTACTTGGAAATTCAATATTTTATCTGTCGTTAAATAAATTTAAAAAATGCTTCTAATTTTATAGCATGACGATTTTCAATTAACAACGTATCAAAAATCCAAGATACTGCGTAGAAAAAATAAAAGATTTATTACTTTTGTTTTGACTGTTTTTGTGTAGAGATCACCACCATACCGTACAACTACGCAGTTCCAAAAAGGGCGATAAATGACCCCAATACGACTTGAATATTTACCTAAATAATAAGTTAGCTTGACTCATTTTCAAGATCATGGTATATATGTCATTCAGTTAACTCGGCTGCTCTACATTTTATGAGTTAAACCAAGGTTTTATTCTTATACATAGATAATAGAATCATAGAAATTGTGAAAAATATTTATTTCAATATGATTGTTATCATAAATTTCAACAATATTTACAAATTAAATTTTTTATGTATTTTTATGATTTTGTTAGAAGAAAACACAACTTTTTTCTATTTAATTTCACTTTGTTTATCTTTATTTTCGTATTTTTATTTCATCATATTGTCATTCTCGTCTAGCTTTTAGAGTAACGAAGAGGGATGAATAAATTTAATATCATTCGTCCCACATTAAAACTCGATGTTTTTTAAAACAACATGGCTTCAAAGCCTACTTCGATTTCATTTATACATGTAAATAGAACTGAAAAAGTGACCCAGTGAAAAAATGAAAAAAAAATCAGACCAAACGTGTGTCACTTTTTTTTTCATGTCAGTCGTTAGGTACTAATAACTTCTTGCCATGTCAACAATAAAAACATTATATAATTTTAAATATACATAATTCATAACAAAACAAAATACTTACCTCAAAACCTTTCTTCGAATGAATATTATTGTTTCTATTTCTTTCTTTGTTTTTCTTATCACATAAAAGCACGTTGACCTACAAATTCCAAAAAAAAAAACTTTCTGTTGATTCATCATCTGATTTATTAATTTAAATACTCATTAGAAATGTAGTAGATGTAAATTAGTGGTAGGAAAGATGATAAAGTAAAAGTCATTAGGCCCTGCATTCTTCACTTGTACAGTACACCGTCGAAAAATATTTCTTTAATTCGAGTAATACCTATAATAATATATATAATTATTTATCAAGGGGTGATTAGATATAATCTGGGTCATAGAAGTGACGTATTTCCACGCTTGAATAATAAATATGGAAAGTGTGTATTTTTAGCACCCTAAGGATTAAAGGGATAAATGGATTTTTTCATCGAGCAATCACATAAAAAAATGCTCCAACGTAATGTACGCTAGTTTGTATACAATGACTGATCGTTAAATATTTTATTTCTCTTGAAAACTTTCCCAGTTTTTCTAATTCATATTTTCTTTTTCCATCTTTATGACAGAGTAATGACCGTTTAATGATTTTCAAATAAAAATTACTCCAAATAAATAATAAAGCATTGATTATTCCACTTTATTATTATTATTATCATCACTTTGACTGCCTTCATACAAAATCTGAATATAATCAAGACGTGATCGTTAATGATTTGGAATTAATGAGACTCAAAATAGTATTTTCTCTCAAATGAGATAAGAGCACTAAGTTCAAAAATTTTAACTATATGTGAAAAATTTGTCATTGTAATTTATATCATTCTTTTTTGATATTCATAGAGCTCTAACGAGTCATCCAATTATTGTGTCCGCTCTGTAAAATTTTACTAGACATAATTGATAATTATTCTACTGACAAGGATCAGACATACTGAATTTACATATTTTTAAAATATTCTCCCACTCTAAAATTTAAATAATTAGATTTTCCATGACGTTAATATAGTCTGAAAATAAATAACATATTATTATTATTTTCATTGTACTTACATTAATTTCCGTTAATTTTTTTAATTTTATACATTGTTAATTAACAACAGGGTCAATGAAAAAGATGGGAAGAAATTTATGCCACGTGGAAGATGTTTATATGAATCTGAATCATTTTCCCATCTTTTTCTCAACCTTCTTTTGGTTCATTATATCACATGGAGTACTTGATTTCATGAGTCTCATCATGATTTTACAAAAAAAAAATACTCTCTCAAAAAGATATCATATACATGTAATGAATTAAATTTCAAAATATTGCAAAAAAAAATAAAATACTTTAGTGAAATAAAAATAATTGAGTACTTAAATGTGATCTCCAGAATTATTTAATATAGTAATCATGTATGTGAGATTCGATGTCAGTGCATTATATTATCCATAATCAAGCAACTAAAACTTACATAGAACGTAAATGAATACTTTATTGTCGTCATACTTTATCGAGTGAAATATACACTACACCTATCTTCAAATAAGTGAAACTTTTTGTGATAGCAAAAATGCTAAGAAATAGGTCAATAATCTGATTATCATATTATAGATTTATTTAAATTTATCTAACGTCCATTTTGGAGTGAAAGTCTTTATGTATTTTCTAAAATCACCTTATCATTTTTTTTTTCTAACATTTACCAAGTCTAAACAAAATCTATCAATACTTATAGTTGATATTATTATTAAAAGAATAAAGTATAAAGGAATAGGTCAAGTTTTGACATTCATTAAATTTATAAAAAAAATTATTTATTAAGTTTTTAATGATTTTTTTTTTTCAGAATTATACTCCAACATGAAGCATGAAGATTCCGATGACAATAAACCTTCAACGTCCACTATTGGAACTTCAACTGAAACAAATATTCCTTATGGGTGAGTTTATTATACACATTCTAACTTCATAATTAACATGTAACAATAGATTAGATTTTAAAGATCTGTTTGATTTATTGAAGGGCAGTAATCCCCACATGTTGACATTGGTTATCTATCTTTTAAATTAAGAATAATGAGACCTTATCTAAATTCATTGAATTATTGACTTATTGTTAAAAATGAGAATATTCTTATAACTATTGTGCCATTCATTATTTCTTCATTGATATAAATTAGGATGATTTTTTGAAAAAAAAAATTAAATATAAATCCGCTAGGAGGCAGTAGTACACTCAAAGTTGTACAGACAACAGTAATAATGGTGGGGGCAATCGGCAGCCGCCAGTTTGTGAGTAGCCGCGAAGAGAATCGTTTCATATCTTGTTGTTCTCATTTATATAGTTGACTTAACTTTACAAAAAAAACTAATTTTGCAACACACCTATCGTTATAAATGTGTTGATATTTTTATTATTATTTACTTTAAAAATTTCTCTGTGGTGAATATTAAACAGTTTAAAGTTTAGTTTTGACAATTGTTTCATCTGGATATGAACATATTAGTAATTTACTATTGGAATAATTTCCATTCTTACACCAAGTGTTTTGCCACTTCCGCGCTTTTTCAAGCTGCGCAATTCTAGTAGCAATATATTCTGTTGTCAAGGTCAAGAATCCGGATCACCGGCAAATAGAGAAGGCACAAAATTGTATAGTGACTTACTGTCATTCAGTATTCTTTCATCTGAAAAAAAACTCGTTTATTCATTTTGTTTTGTTTTTTTTTTTTTTATTTTCATTAGAGTTTGAATTCTTTTTCTACAAAAAAATTGTCAACATTTGTGAAACAGTAATGATTAAGTTGTCATTGTGATTCAGTGCAAGTGATGATTATTGAAAAAAATTTAATCGAAATAATTGAGCATCTTAAACAATACTTAAGTGATCTTTTCTTTTACCAAGACATAAGTGATACACACGCGCATAAGATAAGCCTCCGGATGACGAGTACAAAATTCATAATCAAAAGAAGCTGAAGAAAAAAAAAACAAGAGTGAGTGATACATAATAAAAGAAGAAATGGGCAGTACTTAAATATTTCCCAAGGATTACTTTGTGAATATTTTATTTCCAATCTTGGCAGATAAATAGCAAATTTTTTTTACTGATAAAAAAAATACTTCATTGAATAAAAAAAAAAAAAAACAAACATTTAAAGTGAATCAGAAAAGAATTTGAATGAATTTTTAAAAAGTTGTTAAAATGAAAAACTATTCTTAAATTTAAAAGTCAGAGGAGCAGATAAGAGTAAATTTGATGATATTTACTGTAGTACGTCTGAGATAATAAAAATTTGTCCTCGGAGCTAATCGGAGTTGCCAGATTATTTCCAAGGCTAACTTTGGTATAACAAATATATTACCGAGTAGGTACAATAACAAAGATTTTAAGATGTTACTTCGAAGGCATTTAAAATGCCGGTTGCACATTGCCGGCATCAAACTGAAATTAAAATGTTGAAAAAGCTAATTAATTGATCCATTAAATGTATTTGAGTGTAATAATAGTCGTCCTCAATTGACTTTGGTTGCTAGTTAATATGTAGATATAACTATTAATGTTTGTGAACTATCCAATAGAAAAGTTATTGATATAAAGTGCTTATCATGTGGTCACATCAAGATCATCAACGATACCAGCAAGCTAATGTATCACAACTGCCTCAACAAATCGATACTCAACAGCAAGCTGCTTCTCAATTGACAATGATGCATACAAAGAATCTGCAGCAACAGCAACTATCTCAACAACACCAATCTGCTCTTGAATTGACAATGATGCCGGCTAATAATCTCATTGTTAGTCAAGGCATTGGACACCATCGTAATGCTTCCAGAGAGTCAACACCGAGTTCAAGGTCTGCCTTGAGCACATTACATGAGCCTAAAAAATCTTTTCTTCACTTAAAAAATACTCACATCATTACTCTGTTTTATTTACTATTGTTTTCTTTTTGCATTGACTTTTTTTTTTATATTTAAATACTTCGTAACCTAGTTATTTTTCATTTCGGAATAATATAAATACATAAAAATAAATTGATAATAAATAATTAAAAGACTGATTATTTTATTTATTTATTTTTTTTTTAATTTGGAGAAACGATTTTATAAGCTGTATATTTATTATCCATTAAGTTGATAAAATAACACCTAATAATGAAATAGTAATGCTTATTATTGATACAAAATTTTTGATATAAATTTTATAAAAAATATTATTTATATTTGCAAAATTGTTAGATGATTTCAAAATGACTGTATACTATAAGGATGTCAGCAAACTTCATTCATCATCTTCTAGGTGAAAGATACGGATGAAGTAGTTGGTAGATTAGGATACATGAAAAAGCAATCGAGGGCAAAATTTCAAGAATGAAGTGAAGAATTAAAGTTTCTTCTTTATATTAAGATAGTTCCAGTGGTTGTCCTTGCATAAAACAGCTTGACGAGACCAGTTTTGGGTTCATCAAGATTTTAAGATTTGGTATATAGAGTCAACGAACAAACCGAGCGATGAGTTCGTGAACGAATGATAGGCCAAGCTGTTTTAACTTCTTGCCCTTGAAGAGAACAAGTTCGTGAAATCATTTTGGTCTTGCGTAATCAAAGAAGAGTGGCCGAACGAACCGGCAAACTACGCGGATTCGTTTGACCAGTCAAATCAATTCTCGAGGCAGTTTCATTCTTGCTAGCGTCTTCTTTCATTAATTTATTGGATTATTTTTTGTTCAATATATTGACCAATAAAAAATTAAATTTCAAACATTTATTTTATTCTTTGAGAAATATTTCTTATCTTCTATAAATCTTAATTGCTATCATAATCAGTCTTTACTAAAGAATTTGCTTTCTTTTATTTCGGTAATTCGCAATTTTTTTTAAATCAAAATTCGTGTTGTTTGTCACAATAATTTTAGCAAAGTAATAAAAAATTAGTCATTGAGCTTTGCAATATTAAAATTTTATGAAAATTATAAAGTATTTGTTTATTGAATATTGGAACATAAACAAAAAAGATTGGTCTTTAAGAAAATATATAAATTTATTTTTTCTATTTCTCTACCAAAAGCAAGGATAAAATACCAATTAACATTTTACAGCAATTATGGTTATGAAGTAACATCAGATAAAAAAGGACAAAAATAAAAAACTATCCAGTTTTTCAAGTGACTTTTAACTTAAGAAAAATTAACTCATAAATCAAACATGTTTGTCAGCTTACAAAAAATTTCTTTTGCATTGTAGAATCATTATTGGCATTTTATCAAATTATTGTTTGTAAGAATTAAGTTCTCGTTCAGTTAGTGCAGATCACTATTGTAAATCAGTTTGTAAACAAATTCTTGTCTTTAGTATTCATAGAATATTATCATTTTTCCGTTTATTCACTTATCAGTTATATTCAATAATCAGAAGTGAAGCGAAAGAATATTTACTGGTCTTTATAGGAACAAGTTTTATGATTATTATTTATTTGTAAACAATATTAATTATTAATTCTTCAAAACCGTATTGCAATTGAAATATTACATAATCAGTCTGAATGAGACTCAATCAAAGTCCATTTATACGTACTATCTTTACTATCACAATAACTTTCTCTTTTTTGCAATGATTCAACAAGTTGGAATATTTTTTAGGTCCATTCTAAACCAAGGTCATTTTTGCATTTAAATATTCTGGAAATTTATCTCGAGATTTCATCTCTCTTTTGACTAAAATATATATCAAATTATCAATATGTGGGACATCTTAATGAATAGATGTCATTTTTTATTTATACATCTATAAATGAATGTTTATTTTATCAACCATTTGAATAACTAGAATTTTTTTTAATAAATTTATCCAAGTTATTTTTATTCTGCAACGTAAAAGTAATGACTAATGATAATATGTAATGAGACATAATTCCTTCAATTTCAAACTCAGTAGACCGAAATCAGTAGTTAATCTTAGAATCATAACTCTATTTTTGTCACTACTGTAAAGACATTTTCATTAGAATTATGTTGCATACATTTAGTATCAATGATAACGACAATTTTATTATTCAAAAAAAATTGTTAACTAAATTTTCATTAATATTTATTTATTCATAGATTTTTAGAAAGTTTTATACATTACAAAAATCAATCCATATTGTATTACTGGGATAAAAATAAATATTCTGTGATAATAATAGAAAAATTTCTAAATAAAATCACTGAACTTTTTAGCAATGTAATTATAGCTTCGGTGTAAATGGAGAAGAAAATGTTCGGAAAGGAGAGTTGGTTTTATGGAAAGTCTATCGATGTAAACGATCGATCTTTCTTCTTTTCCCTTGATATTCTAATTATTTCATTGATTCTATCGAAAAAGTAACAATGTATTTTTGAATATAAGAGTTTCAATCTTGTGTATATAAATATTTTCCATTTTCCTTCTTCTTCGTTATCGACTTCATGTCAAAAAAGTCTATAAGTCAATAAATAAAAGAGAAAAAATTAATTAGTAGCTACAATGATAGTTTTTATTGAAAAATTATTAATTATAGCAGTGTAAAGTTCAATCTTTTTTTTGTTTGTTTATATTTTTCTTCAGTTATTGAATTTTTTTGTAATTAACGCTCTAGTGAGAGTACAAACTAAATATAGAATAATTGATCAAATAAAAAGGGTGTAAAAATAAAGACTATTTCCATTTCAATATTTTTATGAAAAAGTTTAAAATGATTTTAGTTTTTTATTGAATAAATTCTTTATCACGTATGATAATCAAGTTGAACAAAATTTACCAGCAATAAAAATTTAATTCTTGCTGTGTATTCCCCATTATGTATCTTCTTATTATGTAGCCTTTCCAAAATATATTTTATGCATATTAAATAAGTTTTACTTGAAAAAATATTTCAATATAGTAAGTAAACATTTAATTAGTTTCACCTGTTTTCGTATTTCTCTCGTCTATTTTCATCAAAATATCTGTTCATTTCAATAATTTACCAATCTCAAAGCTTCTTTAGATAGAGTTTTACGTAATAAGATTATCAATATAAAAATACTGTTAAAAAACAAACAAAATAAGTCAAAAATTTTAATGGTTATCAATGTATTTGATGTGTTTCGTTATTTATGGAAGTAATAAAAAATTATTATTAGTATTACCATATATTAGTTCACTTTATATTCATGTAATGAAAACATATTGATAGATTTGATTAACTGATAAAGTAAAACTTCTTACACTCTCTGTCTCATGTGTAATAATTTTTTTTCCCCTCTATAGGTAGAGCTTATTTTTTCTCCTACTTGAGATAAATTCCCCTATTTTAGTAGTAATCCATGCGGCAAAAAACATGACCATGTATGCAAGAAGCATATTTTGGTAATCTTTGTTTAACATATTGTCACTCTTCAAAGGGGACGGAAAATAATTCCCTATTCTAAGAATTCTCAGGCTCATTTATTAAGAATCATTTATATTGGAGTTTTACTTATCAGTTTAAAAAACTACTAATGCCATAATTGTTCTTCGATTGTCTGCAGTTAAATTTCACTTGAAAAATAAAGATTTACCCTTAGTTCGATGACCTCACAACATTCATGTTACTCAATAATCTTTTCCTCGTCTATTATTCTCAATAAAAACGTAATATGAGCACTAGAATGTCTGTTAGAGCTGCCAAGTACGTCGCTTGCCATTCATGACGCATTGACTTTGACCGAGTTGCCCTCTACCTAGGACATTATATTCCTTGTTGGTCATAGTCTAGTATAAAGTATAGTAGCGCTTCTGCATATTTTATTTCTTTCACTTATGTAAAGAGTAACGTTTAATGTTACACTTATTAGTTAATTAACTATCAAAAATAATCGTATGCAATTACACGCCCAAAGTTATCATCTTAATCTTTTGAAAGCTTATTTATAACTATAGAACATATATATATATATTATAAAATACTTATATGAAGTTACATATGAGAAACATGAAAGAACATTATCACGTCATCATTTATTAGTTACGTAAAAAAATACAGAATGAAAATTTTTATATTTTATTTCTGTATTTTATTAACAAAAATTATTTACAACAATTGATGTTAATTGGAATCATTAATCTATTTAGTGATTTATTAATTTATTATTATTGTTGTTAGAAAAAATTTATATTATTTATCGTTCATTGATGATAAAAATAAAAAACATTGTATATGGAGTAGTAATCGTTGAAAGTTTTCAGCGTCTATTTAAACAATAAAAGGATATATTAAAAGTGACTTATGTTAGAGTTACAAATGTGTTACATAACATATTATAATAGAGCTGTTAAAGTGGTATCAAGTTAATAAATTGAATATTCTCTCGATCCTTTGTTGCTGTCGCTTTTGCCTGTTATCATAATGGTTTTTCGAATCGAGATGTATGTTGTTTTAGATAATTTGTTGTAAATGCAATTATATCGAAATGTGTAAATATTTCTAAATATATCTAAATATATCTAAAAATATATATATATTAGTTAGGAAGTTGTGTGTAAGAACACTCTCACAACAAACTTCTGAAACTTTCTTCAAGTATTACATATTTAAACATAATAGGTCATGAATCATTATCAATACTTAATAACCTGATTCTAAATTTCAACGTTCAAATATGAATTAATGTCATAATTGTGTGAACATGTCATACAGCATGTTAACTACCATTTACATAATAATAAAATCATGTAATAATACACTATTATTATTTTCTGCAAAGCTCAGAATTTTATTTCTGACTTTTAAATTTTTTTTATAATTTTTTCTTTCGCTCCATTATTTTTATTGATTTTTGGTCTTCATATTAACACTTATTCTCACGAATGTAAT